GTAATCACATGCTGCAATATGTATAACAGTATTTATCAGATAAATGAAAATAACTAAAATACCAACTTTTGCGTGTAGGTACACCAATATCTGTACGTGTTTGTCTCTACAGAATTGACAATATATGTATATGGAAAGACAAATGTACTTTTAAAGAGAGAATAAGCTAAAGTAAAACAAATCTATACTGAAAAGCAAAGCAGGGGTGGTATACAAGCAGCTGGAGTCAGTTCTAAGAGAGAGAGGCACAAAGCATGAACATGATTAGTTACGCAGAAAAGTGACAAGCCATATGTATACTGCATGTCAAGAATCAAATTCTATGAGACTGATGGTGAAGCTAAATTCAACTAAGATGTGAATGTAAGGAGAGAGATTCAAATGTATTATCTGGCCATTAATTGTGAGGACAGTTTTTGCATCCCCTAATTGTAACATACAATATTCTTCGGGGAAAGCAAGGATCATAACTGTGTTTGATGATGGAATCACATAACTCTAACTACTGATTTAGTATGAAATTTTTATGAATCAATTATACCTAATAGTCAAAGAGTCCTTGAACATGTTTAAAAAAAATGGAGACACCTTTAAAAATCAGCATAAGAACTGGGGCTTGGGATTATTAAAGTTTTAATATCCATTTATTGCCATGAAAACAGGAGAGCTAAGAGATAATGTTGTTGTTTTTTGTAAGATTATCAAAGAGAGCAAAAGGGAATGATCCATCAAACATTATAATGAAAATGCAGTCAAACAGAAGTATCTTAATATAAAATGAATTTTACACATAGGCTTAGGTGTGTATACATGTTTTCGGTATATATCTGAATGTGCACATCAGCTCAAGTGTGTATTTGCTGTTCCAAGTGAAAAAAGAAGCTTTCTAACATTCCCATTTTTCAACTCATTGGTTGAATCATATTACATCAGGCATAGCCAATATTTTACAAATAGGATGTTTCATTTTAAGTCATTCAACTTTATGAAACCACTATCATAAAAAATTATTTTGATTTTGATTCTCTAGGAAAAAACAGCATTCTCCTATGTTTTATTAGAACACTTTCAAACATTGCTGAAACAAATTGGTTGTGCAATATATATGAGAGGCTGACTACTGATATATATCTCAAGCTATGATATACATTTTATATCAAGACAGAAGCATTTATAACAATTTAATTTTAATGTAATGTGTTCTCATAAACAGTCACTCACTGACAAGTGTTAAAAACTGCAATTTCTTGTGCATTTAGAAGGCATGGGAATGAGGTATTATATTCTATTCACATTTTGTGTTTCAGCAGTTTATATACAGTACAATACATTAACCTGTTGATGTCAGAAGTGCATTTATACATGCAGTCAACTGTAGTTTTGTTTTAATAATTTTGTTTATGCACAGCTGGCACTAGAAGCACTAAGAAGCAAAAATGATCTGTGATTAGGTCTAACTGACCTCTAATATTTCCCCACTTATTGTTTTTTTATTAACATCATTATTGTTAATAATCTTAAAATGATAATCATGATGATAACAGATATGGTGATATTTATAATGTTATCAATATTAGAAACAAACAAAAATCAAGGATTGGGTAAACACGAGATACAACTGATTGCTTGATGCTTGTAAAGCCATCTATGGTAAACAAAATTAATAACACAAAATCACAGCAAACATTGATTGTATCCTGCACCAGTGGGTTAAAATTGTTTACAAAGAGGAGCTCAAATTTGCAATCAGTTCTTGGAATACTAAGTGAGCCACAATAGTGAAAATTCCCTGTTGACTTGAACTTTACTAAGTGCATAACGTTGATGAGTGTGGTGCATCACAGATACATCAGCCTTATTGCATAGCTAGTCTCATATCACTGAAGATCTAGGCCATTTGCTTCTTTGGTAACTACAACACTACAATGTTTTGAGCATATAGAATCTATGATTCTATGGGTCCTATAGAAATATGGCACTGTGATCCAAATTCACAAATAAATAAATAGCAAAATAAAATATCTATCAACCAAGGCACAAAGAGGAAAAGAAAGTCTAGTAATTTGATAAAAATACATCGTAAGGGAGAATTTAGCATTCCTTGAGAAGTAGGAGCAAAAATAATAAATACTAATTCATATAATGCAAATGAAGACAGAAAATGTAAGCTATGTGGAATGGGAATCAAAATGTGGGAAATTTTTATATTGAATGAACAATATTTCTTGTGACACATGAGTAAAATAACATCCTAATTATTTTCTATCAACCACTAATCATCATTATCTTTCTACAGGGTATAGAATAGGAAATAAACAAGCTGAAAAACACTTTTTTTCACTACTATCTTGTAGACTGGATTCTAAACCATCTAGAATGGGATTGGAGGTACCAAAGTATGCCACTTCATTTCCTTACTTTCAAATGAAAGTTTTCAACGAAAGTAGATATTTCAACTAAAAGATGATGTCATTGTAAAAAGGAGGATGGCAACCAAAGATCAGCAAAAAGGGATTAACAGACAAAAATGAATAGAGTGAATGAAATAATACCAAAACAAATTATCATAAACAGCATTTATTCATGATTATCCAATACCATTCACCTGACGAAACAGTTGAGAAATCAAAACAACTTTCATTAAACAGACATATTTACACACACACACACACACACAAACACACAAAATTATAATAATAAAGAAAATAAATAAATATCAAAGATGATAATTAGATACAGAAGACAACCTTTAAAACACTCTCTCTATCCCATTATAAAATGGTTTATCATTATAAATCATAACAAATAACTCTTATCGTACTGCAAGGCGACTCTTCACTCTTACTGGTCACAAAATCTAAGCAAAAATACCCACAAGACTTACCACAATCAATCTTACCATTACAATTATTTGGCAAAGTTCTTCACAGCCTGACTGTTTCCATACAATTATCTTCAAGGTAATATTCTATCAAATGTTACTAAGGGCACAATGATTCTATCCTGCAGATTACATATTCGTGCATGACAGATTTGACTGTACTATGAAAATCTAGATTGTCTCACAAACAAATCATTCTCTGGGTAGGAGTTATACAGGTGTACATTTACCTACACTGGATCACTGCAAGTTAAGAGGCGTATATAAAGTACACTAGAATGAATCTGCAATGGCACAATTAAACAATCTGCAGTTTGATCTATGTAAATGTCTACAAACTGAATGTTGGTGTTTGTAAATCTCACTTTTATGAGAACTCCAATCAGTTACTTATATAAACTTTTTTTTTCAAATACCTCTCTTAACCAGTAAAGTACCACAGAAGAGATTTAACAAAACCAGAAAATGGCTTCTGAATGCAAACAAATTGTGCTTCTTAATTTGTAAGGCATATATTTCTTGCTTTGAATTAAAAAAAAAAAAATTAAAACATCTAGACAACAAATATATAATGTTTCAAATTTACCAGTTTCCTCATTAATCCGGGCTGCATAGAAAACAGGATTCTAAACAGTCACTACTGCATGAGGTACTGTATCTTGGGATAAGCTGGGAGATATCAGAAGAGATGCATTTAACTCCCTCCAAAACACTATAAATAGGTGTTAATATCGGTGAGCAACCAACTCTCTTGAGTATGTGTTGTAGGCTACCAAAAGGATATTTCATGAGACATGTCACAGTTAAAGACTGAAGTTCAATATTTGTAATATTTCCTATTTCATTCCTTTCACATAGCTTCCACCTGAGAACGAAACAAAAGCTGGTTCTCTTGGTTTACATCTGTTTCATAATTACTCACTGAACTTCAAATTTCCAACCTCGCATTTACCAAAAATTCTACAATACACTTTCCTCACAGCAAGCAAATCTTCCAGGCCTAGCAAGAAAACTGGCATTGATTCATGTCTAGGAAAAAAAAAACAGAACATCACACATAAGCTTGTCCCACTTCATATATTGCCACAGTGCAATAGGTTTGCTAATGTCATTCACAAAGCTACTTCCTTAAACTCTTATATAAATGATAACAATATACAATCAACAATCACAATATGTACATTATCTGGAGTGGAATGTTAGACTTTAATGCATCATAGTCTATGCCACCATATCTTGCTGCTTTCATTTAAAGGCAATAAGGTTCAGTACATAAAAACATGAATCTCTCCCTTAATTCCTAATTTATCTGATGACGTTCTATCTTAATCATTATCATATGAACTGCATGCACTGAGGAGTAATGCCATAATAAACTATTTTTATGTAATCCAATATAACATATACCCAACAAAAGCTCTTAAGTCATTGCAGGTAATATTAAGCAAAAGTAGCTTAAAACCTTCTAAATCACTATTCAATCAAGCTGCCAGTAAGTCACTGACATAAAATCATGACATTTCTGCAAGGGTTACAGACATAATATGGTTCAAGAGACTGAATGAAGGTAATCAATGAATGACTTGAGAAAATTGTATCATATATATTTTTTCCAGCCTTATTCATCTGTCAACATTTATAAAAAAAAATAAAAAGTGAAAAATTAAGAAAACTAACAACAACCCATCCCTATATTCATCACACCAAAATAAGATAATTAATTTCCTTCCATCTTTGTTTCTACAATACAGACTTTCGACGAGCAAACTGTCACACTCTCCGATTAATAAACATCAAAAACATAAAACACAGAAAATATTTCCCTTTTTCAATTTCAAATAAAAGTCCTTAAAAACAAGGGCAAAAGACAAAAACAAACAAACAAAAAAAAGAAAACAAGTTCACTCGACGATCCACTCATGACAAATCTCAACTGATTAAACCACATATATTTAAAGTGCAGCACTTGACATTACAATCTTTCTCTCCATCTCATTATTCTCATTTGCTTGGAAGGATTTATTTGGTGGCCATAAAGTAAGTGCAGCACTTACACCCACTTCATTTTAACTTCTTTTGGTTGAACTCCACCATGTACCTGAAGCACATTACTATGAAC